CCCGGAGCGCCGTCCACGCCCCCGGCTTCTCAGGTGCGCCCCGAGCTTTGGGCCCCCCGGGGGCCCGCGTGCCGACCGCGCCCTCGCGGCGCCGGAGCCGGTCAGCCGGACAGTCGCGGGGTTTCAGCCGTCCTCCCAGGACGGTGTTTCTGGGGGTCTCTTTGGCTCCCGTGTGTGTAATTGGGAGGGTTGGGCCTCGTTCGTCAGTGATTTTGTTTTAAACGTGGTGATGGTTTTGTTTTGGTAGCGTTAGGGTAGTGTATTTCATGCGGGAGACATGGGTCGGATTGCAGAAATTGAGGCCCGTCTGTCCTTTCAGCCTGTGGGCTTTTTTTTTTTTTAGAGAAGAGAAAAACAAAGATTGCACAGAATTTGTTAAACTGGGGAAGGGGAGTGAGTACAAACCCACCAAAACCCCCCGGAAGGAAGCCAGGAGCCTTTTACCTGCTAAGCAGAGGACAATGGAAAGAAGGGGAATCCCTGGAAGTATCCGAAATAAACCCCAATGAATAAAACAGAAGAAGATGAATCATTTGTACAAAACTCATTTTTATAATCCTGGAATCGTTTACATTTTAGTTAAAATGTGGCTGTCAGTTCCTGGTTTTGTTTTTGCATATTTGAATATTCATGGCTTTGAGGGAGTATTTGCATCAGCTCTTTTTTAGAAAAATATACATGTTGAAATAACCAAAGCTGTAGTTTTTTGAGAGTCTCAGTACTGAATTCACTCATTTCTAATTATTCTTGGGTGTATTCATACGGTAAGGAAGGCTTTTTAGACCCTTTTCTTCATCAGTGTCCTATTAACTTAAATGGGGAAATACGTAAGTGAAAAAATTTGGTAGCAACCACAGCTGATCTTAGAGGCGCCTAAAATACAACATTAAACTTTTATCAACATACAGGTGTTTCTTTGTTTCCAGGACTATTACAATCAGCTGTTGCTATTTTGCATTATTTGACTACTTAAGTGTTTGGTGTCTTGCCAATGAGCCGGTCTGCAAAAGGCATGCTTCTCCAGAAGACCATTAAGCCTTGAAAATAAAAGCCTTCAACCAACCATAGCTTTTTTAGTCAGATCTTTCTCTTTAGAAGATAAGTGGTGGAAATTATTCTGTCTTAAAAACATTCTTTCTGTTGATGTTTGGTGAGACTAACTTTAGGTGACATGTGATGACTCTTAAATGGTACTGCTGTATCCATGAGGTGGATCTGCTTTTTAATCAGTTCATCTTAAAATATATAGGTACTGTCTTTTCTCCCCTTGTTACAAGAACAGACAAGCCCTGCTCAGGCACTACAGATGGAGGAAAAAGTGAACTCTGTGGTTTTCCTTTTAGGGGAATGACTGTACATTCTGACAGTCTGATTGGCCTTCTGTTTCTCATACTTGGCAACTCACTGGTGCTTTCAAAGTGAGACTAAATGTAATAGGTGTGGCCTAAGACAATCTGAATGACCTTTATGACATAGCAGAGAAAATACTAAGCTGCTGTCTAAGGGTCATTGAATATTGTATCTTCTATAATGCTGCTTTTTTTTTATCAATATTGAGAGGTTGCTAATTATGTCATTCAGATTGCTAGAGTAATCTGCCAGAACTTCAGTTAATATAGAATATAATTCTAGTTAAAGTTTGGTTTTTATGTGAGAATCACACACAAAGACATTCTGGTTGAGGATGAGCTGTCTTATTTTGGGGCCTGATACATATGTTCTGATAGATATTTTAGAATTTTAAAAAATATCACTCTGGATAATGTTTGCATATGTGTCTTACTGGAAAATGACAGGTTATCAAGGTATTCAATAATTAGAACAGTTTTGCTTTATTTTTAAAAATTTTTGTTTTCAGTATTTTACCTTTGATTGACATCCTTGAAACCAACATGTTGGATTTTCCACTATTGAACATAGTGATCGTAGTAATTTTTCTTTCTATGCATAAAGTTAAATCTTAAAAATCAGCGGTTCCTGGGAGTTACACTTGCCTGAGGGCTGCCCTTTGCTGCTATCCCCTTAACCTCTGTCACAGGAAACATGACAGCTGCCCTACAAGCAGCTCTGAAAAACCCCCCTATCAACACCAAGAGTCAGGCGGTGAAGGTGAGTCACAGACACCAAGTGATCTCTGCTGCTATCTTAGCGTTCCTACCAGAATCCTCTGAAGTGTCGCAGAATCAGCCAATATTTTAACCATTTACTCTCTTTGACATAGAAGAGCTCCCGATGTAGTTTGATAGGTAGAAAACTGACGTATGAAAAAATAGGGCTCTACCGTTGAATTATAATAATGCTGCACAGTAGACATACTAAGTTCATTCAAATGAGAGAGATCATTTTTGTGTGTTTTTAGAGGAGGCTGCTCAGGTTGAATTTGAGCAAAGGCTTGGAGAATACATAAAACTTTCATAAAATAAGCAGATTCTATTTGCTTTTTTAAAAATTGTTAAAAATTATACAAGCCTTAGGTATTACAGAAAACTCAGAAATGTGAGGGAATAAAAAGGTAGTAATCTGTAATCCCACCACCCATAGATAATCACTTTTTGGTGTTGCTATGTGCTTATAGATCTTTTCTATGAGTGGTGTTTTTTTTTTTTCAATGGAAATGGAATGTTATAACCTTTTTCAACTGTATAGCAGTATAATTGAATGTCTTTCCTTGGCAGTAAGTTATTTCTATAATTTTTTTAAATAAAAGTTTATTCTTAAATGTACAGTAGGTTCCAAGACAACACTTCATTCTAGCTATAGGTGGCAACAGATGCTCTGGCAGGAAATCTAGATATTTAAACAGGAATGGAATTAAGGTTCACTGCCTCAGGCACACGGAACAGCTTGCTTTTTGCCAGATTTCTTAATTCCACCTTTCCCCGAGGCCTTCCTTTTTAGCTCCTTGAGTTTCTTCTGTTCCTCTTTCTTGTTTGTGCTTGAATGCCTTATCTTCCTTCCTTATCTCCTCGGCCTGCTTCTTTCTTAGGCTGCCTCAGGGGCTGCTTCTTGGCCCCATCCCGGCCAGACATGGCACCTGCTGCCCCTTCCCCAGACCCTGCCACTGTAAACCTACTTCTGTAGTATCTTTTCTTTTTCCATCAGTTTATTGAGTCTTTTGTAATTAATTCTTGTTCTGCTGGATCTTGGGTTAGTAAGTAGTCTGTTTTCATGAAGCTGTTTTGTTATTTTTTTTAACTATTGAAGTATAGTGAGTTTACAATGTTGTGTCAGTTTCTGGTGTGCAGCACAATGCTTAAGTTATACATGAATATACATATTCATTTTTATATTCTTTTTCACCATAAGCTACTACAAGATATTGAATATAGTTCCCTGTGCTATATAGTTTAAGTTTGTTTATTTTATAGAATATCTTTAATGGCTACATGTAGATAATGCTACAGTTTAGACATAACCCATCTCCCTTTGTCATACATTTAGATTATTGACCTTTTTTTCTGTTGTAAACAGTACTGAAATAAACAGTTTTTGGTAAATTCTTAATTGTTTCCTTTGAATAAATTTCTAGCAGTGAATCATTGAATTTTAGACTGCATATTTTTTTAAGGCTTTGGCACATGTGGTATTGCCATATTGCTCTTCAGAAAAAAATGTATAATTACATTCCCTGTGGCAGTCTTACAGTGATTCTTAGGAAACTATTTAATTAGTTGTGTATTGTTTAAAATGAAGCCCAGAGCATTGACACTACTGACCATGGCTATTCATACATCCAAGGAGCCCCAGGCATCTCCTTTGTTGAATGGGAGTAAGTAATATCTTAGATAAATGCATAATAATTGTCTAGGCAACATAACCTTTTGTAAGGGGAAATTTTTCTTTGGTTTTTAAGAGTAACAGGATTGAAATTTCAGTTTTACCACCTTCTGCTTTTATATGGGTGGGTTTTTTTAATCCAGGTTTGTGGGTGGGAGGTGATAGCTCTGGGTGCAAGGATATTTTTCTAAATAGGGTAATTGCATAGTCTTTACAACTGAAGTTAACAACAGGTGGTAGAAACAAACTATACAACCCTGACCAGTAGGAATGCTAAAGGTGCTACTTAGTGTTGAATAGAAAGAGAAGCAAATCTTCGAAATGGGAAATTACGTGTTCTTGTGCTTGGCTTGATGAGTAAAAAAATAATAACTTTGCTGTTAGAGCAGCCTTTTATTAAAGACAAAAGGTCATTATAAGTGAACATCACTTGGCTATAGATATGAAACTTAGAATAAATTTTCTTAAAAACTTAATTTTTTATTAATAACCTATTTCTGAAGGATGGTTCAAGGTAAAGATGCAATTCAATTTCCTTTTGTTGTTTGTATTTTTTTTAAGATCAAGAAATAAAACGTATCGACTTAGTAAACTGGTAGATGATCACACCTATCTGTAAGCAAGTCCTTTCGTCTCTGCCTTCAGCTATGTCAGGAATCTGTCCACCTCTGACCACCTGCACTGCTACCATGCTAGGCAGAACATGCTGTACTATTGCAGTGACTTCCAAACTGGTCCCTGCTTCTGCCTTGTCTCCTGCTCCCCTTCTTCCCCACCACCCCCCAGTGTGGTCTCAACATGGCAGCCAACATGAGCCTGTTACAGTGTAAGTCAGGTTATATCCCTGTTCTTCTCAGAACCTTCCAGCTTCTTCTTGTTTCTCTGGCTGGAAGCCAGAGCCCTCACAGCGGCCTGCAGGGCTTCCATGCTGTCTTCCCGCTGCCTCTCTGACTCCCCATCCTGCTGCTCTGCCTCCACTCCGCGCCCGCCGTCTCGGGTCCTGGAGCGCACTGAGCACTCACTCAGAGCACCTACTCTTTCCTCGGTCTGCAGTGCTTTCCGCAAATACGCCCCAAGTTTCCTCTTTTAATGTCCTTCAGGTCTTTACTCAGATGTCACATTTTCACTGTGGCCTTTCTGAAAGTGTAACCACCCCCACCCCGGCCGCACACGCACACATCTAAATGGTCTGTTCTTTTTTGCCCTCAGGATCGAGCAGGCAGCATTGTCTTGAAGGTGCTCATCTCCTTTAAAGCTAACGACATTGAAAAGGCAGTTCAATCTCTGGACAAGAATGGTGTGGATCTCCTAATGAAGTACATTTATAAAGGCTTCGAGAGCCCCTCTGACAATAGCAGTGCTGTGTTATTGCAGTGGCATGAAAAGGTAATTTACGAATTACAGGTCTGCGTGACTGGCTCCTTTGTCATAGTAACAATGGTGGCCACTCTTAGCTAAATAACTATTTTGACTTCTTGGTTATACATTGTTGTTATTACAAATAAATGCATGGAAATGAAAGCTTAGATTTATGCTTAATAGCCTTGGTCTTAAGAGATTCTGATCTGCAGTGCTTAAATTTATTCAGTGATGATTATTGCTCATTGAGCACAGTCTTGAACTTTGATCTAAATCAAAACTTGAAAATAAGGAATAAAATCAAAACTTCTTTGACAGTGGCCAAAAGGTGGAAACAACCAAAGTATCCATGAACAAGTGAACAGATAAAGTGTGGTACATACATACAATGGAATATTATTCAGTCAAAAAAAGGAAGTTCTGATACATGCTATGGCATGAATGAACCTTGAAAACATTATGCAAAGTGAAATAAACCAGACAGCAGGACAAGTACTGTGTGATTCCACATACATGAAACACCTAGAAGAGGCAGATTCATGGAGACGGGAAGTAGCTGAGAGGTTACCAGCGGCTGGGGACAAGGGAGAATGAGAGTTAGTGCTTAACGGGTACAGAGCTTCTGTTCAGAGATGAAAAAGTATTGTAGAGAGAGTGGTGATGGCTGGACAATATTTGGAATATAATTAATGCCACTGAATTTTACATTTAAAGATGATTAAAGTGGTCAATTTTTTGTTACATATTTTATGACAATTTTTAAAAATGAAATCCGGGGTAGGATCAAGAATTCTAAAAGATTTTTTTTTCTGTTTTCATGTATTTTATTTTGCAATGTAAGCAGATAACTGGTACACTTTCCATCAAAAAAAAGAAAAATGGCTAAGGAGAATTTTTAGCTTTAGGTAAAAAGTTGGTAAGGTAATCTTTAATACCCAACTCTTACATTATATTGGTATGAATAAACCAGTGTAACATTCAGATAGAACCAACCACAGGTAAGGTGTATATGTTTTGACATCTCATAGTTCCCAGAACTCAGTTTTCCAGAAGCTGCTGTCTGTGTGCCTGAGTGAAAGCGCACACGCGCCAGGTGAGACCAGGTAGCAGAACTTGCTGTTCACCTTGGTCAGGTCACCATAGTCCTCATGCACGGGTCCGCTGTCAGATAAAAAGGGCTCACATTTATGGATGGGATAACCATTCCAGGTTTTCCCAGGACAGCTCCTGTTGTCCCAGTATCATTATGAAAATTCCTTTCACTCTGCAGTGTACCAGTTTGGAGAATAATTTATATAGTCATCCTATTCATGGGATGTTTTTTGTTTGCCAACTGCTGAGCCATTAGTTTCTGTTCTGTGTGATCCTTATGACAGCCCTAGGAGATACATAAATATCTTTATCATCCTCAATTTACAGATGAAGAGCTGGCTTTAAAACCTATCAGCCCAGTTTGAGTAGTTTCAGGGTCACAGCAAACACTGAGCACTTACTATATAACAAGCACTTTATAAATATTAACTCATTTAATCTTCATAAAAATACTAGGAGAGAATGTTTGCTATTCCTGTTTTGTAGATGGGGAAACTGAGGCACATGTTAAGTCTTCATTTATTTCTAACAGTCATCAGGTTTTTTCATTCTTACTCCCAAATACTCGTCAAATCATCCACCCCAAACCATCTCTGATACAACTGTTCACAGCATCTCTCACAGTTTGTTGCTATAGATTCCTATTCCTGCTCTCTTGGCTGCTAGTTTTATCTGTTCTCCACCCCATCACCAGAATGTTCTCTCTAACATCCACATCTACCCTTGTCAGTCACCTGCAGAATGAAGTCCAAGTGCCCAGGTCCAGCCTTATCTTCATGTCCCGAAACACTCACCCATGTCCAGAAAGCACAGAGTTCCACACAGGATCAACCCAAAGAGGAGCACACCAAGGCACATAGTCATCAAATTGACCAAAGTTAAGGATAAGGAGAAAGTATTAAAATTAGCAAGAGAAAAGCAACAAATAACACACAAGGGAATTCCCGTAAGGCTATCACCTAATTTTTCAGCAGAAACTCTACAGGCCAGAAGGGTGTGGCAAGATATATTTAAAGTGATGAAAGGGAAAAACTTACAACTGAGAGTACTCTATCCAGCAATGCTCTCATTCAGAGTTGATGGAGAAATCTAAAGCTTCACAGATAAACAAAAGCTAAAAGAATTCAGCACCACCAAGCCAGCTTTACAACAAATGTTAAAGGAACTTCTCTAGTCATCAAACCATAAGAAAAGAACAGAAAGAAGAAAGAGGGGGGAAAAAAAAGACCTACATCTTCATGTCCTTCCTCCTCTAGTGCTCCAGCAGTGAGCATTAATGAAGTGTTTTCCCTGAACACACCGTAATGTTTCACGCCTCTATACTTTTGCTCATGATGTTCTTTCTGCCTGAGTGCCTCCTTACCTTTTATGTCCGTCTGTCCCCTGCTTGTCCATTTAATATGTCATTTCCTCCAGGAAGCCTTCCCTCACCATTCCACCTTCCTCTGCACCCTCAGGTCGGGTGTATGCCCCTCCTCTGTGCTTTTACAGCACCCAGAGCATAGCTCTGATGTCATTTCACACGTTATGTTATACTTACATGATTTGTCCATGTCTGTCTCTTCCCAGTAGACTCGAATGCAGTATTTGTTCCCTTTTGTAACCCCAGCATCTAGCATAGTGCCCAATACACAAAGGTACACAGTGTTTTCAACCACGAGTAAACCAGAGCTTCAGATTCCTAATACTTAATCATGGCTTCTGATTTTTTAAGGTAAAGTCAAAGTTCCCAAGTTCTTAGCTATTAAATAGTTATTTTCTTAGCTTGAAAAATAAATCTGACCAACTCTGACTAAATGGAACTTAGGATGGTTGATCCCAGTTTGAATTTCTTCCTGACGCTGCTGAGAATAAGCAGCATGAATGTCCTAAATTTATATCTGGGCACCTGTTTTAGGCAAGAACATTGTGCTGCAGATCTTTAAGAACATACTGTTACTTGAAAACAACACACCAGAGTGTACACTAGCATCTCAGGAGAATGTCACTGCCTGAGGACAGGGACTCTGAAGGGTTTTTTCTTTACTGTATCACCAGTGCCGGGACCAGTGCCTGGTGCGTAACGGGTGCTCAAGAAATACTTGTGAAAATTAGTGAATCCAAAATCAGTAGCTGCACACATTTCTCCTTTAAGAAAAGCATTTTATTCGGTGTGAGAGCTGAGCCTCTGTGGTTCTGTCGGCATTTATTTACATTTTGGTCTGTGTTTAGGCACTCGCTGCTGGAGGAGTGGGATCCATTGTTCGAGTCCTGACTGCGAGGAAAACCGTGTAGTCCAGTGGGAACTGGATGTCTCCCGCACGGTGGGAGTTGCTGGTACAAAGACCAAAACAACCAAATGCCACCGCTGCCCTTCGGGCAGCGTCCGTTTCTCTCAGCTTTGCCTTCTTGCTTCCTTTTCATATCTATAAAGAAGAAAATTACATATCAGTTTTCCTTTAATGAAAATCAGGATATAGTACAGGCAGTGTTTCAACAGGAGTGTTTCATGCTCTCAAAACTACTCCAGTGGTGTGTACGCCAGTCTGTATATAGCATAATTTACATTCAAGTTTAGCTGTGCAATTTTTAACCCCTATTGGTTGGTGTGGGTTTTTTGTTTTTGTTTGTTGGAAGGGTTTTGGGGGGGGTTTTGGTTTTGTTTTTGACTGATAGTGAGAAATTTGATCAGAATTTGAGGCCAGTTTCCTAACTTATTGCTAGCCAGGAAATGATCTTTATTAAAAACAGATGTTTGAGAGACTGGCAGCTATTAACTAACATTGCAAAACTGGACCACACTTCCCTTATTTAAGCAAAATGTGTTTCTGGAACCAACGGTGGCTGAACACCACGACCAGGCTCCAGCTCTGTTTCTGCTTGCCTCCGGATTCTGTTGAGTTTAAGTACGCGTCTTCCTCTCAGCATCCAATAATCGTGGCCTCTTGATTCCTTTGTGGTCACCCAGGGTGTAGAGCAAGGAGTCTTGCTCTACACAATGTATCTTACAGATCATTTATAAAATACACTTTGTATTTGGCCAGAGCCTGTTTGGTACTAGCATAAAACTTTTGCTCCAATAATATGGCCCTATTTGGGGAACCTACTCCAAATCAGAAAGGACACAGAATCTTTGATGTAGTTCAAACTCTGGGCAGCCTCTGAATGAAATACTGTTTTCTTTGGAATTACAGTGGCTATCTTTGACATTATGAGGTACGTAACTAGTATTTAATACGTCCTATAAATGTCTTCAGTGTTCTTTAGGGTAACTGGGATCTTACAAGATTTGGTTCAGATCCAAACACGTACACATTCTGTATTTTAGCTCAGTGTTTTTTAAAAAAAGATAATGCCACACATCAAAAAAGTGTTTACTTTGTTAGACAAACCAAATCAGTTCTCAGAAAAATGACCGGTGCTTTTGAAAAGTTATCATTCAGTAGCTCTAAAAGAAACCACCTGAATGCTTATGACCAAGAGAGAGAGCAGACTATATTTAGTATTTCTTATATCACTGACTTATGTGAAAACTGGTACAGAAATTCTGTAAACTCTTTGCTGTTTTTGATACCTGCTTTTTGTTCTGTTTTGTAAAAATGATAAAGTTCAGAAAATAAAATGTCAGTGTTGAATAATTTATTTTTCTCACTCTTACTTTAATACTTAGAATGTATAGTTAATTAAGAGGAAAGATTTCCTGTTTTATCACCAAGTCATTATGCTCTTTGACAAGAACAAATTTTGTACAGAAGATTTATAAAAACTGCTTTATTCAAATATAAAGCAGTAGACATGGGGAGTCATTAATAAACATTAGCAGTGACGCCTCTGGAGCGACCTCACAGCCCCGTGAATGCCCCTGAGCGCTGGAGACGAGACCAGGATGTGCCGGTTGGCCTTGCAGCCGCTGTCACTTGTTCCCGGCTTCTTAACTCTTACACCTCAGATCTTCTGTCCCTACCAACTCAAGACAACCTCTGTTTGCTTTCCCACTGCACCTGCTTTAAAGCTTTAGAAACTCACAGGCAGTTCAGAGGGCTGGAAGTGAAGCTGCGGGTGTCAGGCCGTCAAGTAGGTAATGCATAAGCACGAACAAACCTCAGAACAAAAGCAAGTGACACTGCGATACTTTTTCATAAAATCCATTTCAACATCACTTTCACAACCATAGTGCTGGGGAAAATTCTGGGGTTCTGTGTTTTATAGTGACAAGAATAGGTGTATTCAGAATTTGCTAGTCAGCTTTACTCAGGGCAGATAGCAAAAATATGTACCAGAACGGCGTAGGGGCTGGGCCAGATGGACGCCAGCTGGAATCCACTGGCTCAACTGATGCATTTCGGCTAAACGTCAGCCCAGGTGCTGCTGGCTGATGGCACCGTCGTGGTGGGGAGGGGGGAGGGGCGTAGTCAGGGAGAACTGTGGAGAAAAGACATAAATGCTAAGGGGCACTTTGGGCACAAAAGTGATTCTCCCCCCACCCCATTCCCTTCTACTTGAATCTCGGTGTTTTTATCGTTTGTAGCCATTTTTGTGTTTTTGCCACTTTTTAAAGGCTCATGACCCCTTTGTTGATCAGCAACGTTTAGTTACATCATACCTGATGGTAAGCGTGATGATGTGTCACGGGACGCCGTTAACACAGGTGAAATCAATCTTGTCAACTGGCCAACTTAACTGAGTACTTTTCAAGTGTGTACTGTGTTCCCTGGGATCACGGAGGAGACAGAAACGTCTGGACCTTGCTCACAAGCTGCTTTCAGCCTAGATGCAAAGTAAGATTTAAGCACTTTGAAGTCAGTGCCACGCATTTTCATACCTGCCTGTCAGCGTGGGGGGAACAGTGCGATCGGGGTGGCCTGCTGGAAAGCGAGGCAGGTCGGTCTGCACGAGGCCCCGCGCAGGCGGGAAGAAGGGGCAGCAGAGGGACGACAAAGCCAAAGCAGGTTTAGCCGTCACTGTTCTTAGGGTTTCAATGTTTTTAACATAGAGTCATGGACAGTGACTAAGAGGATGTAGGTTTTGATAAAGTATCTCCATGGGACAAAATTCAAGAAAGTCATAAGATTTTAGAAAATTATTTTTTTTTCAGCTGAGTTAGACATCAGTGGTCACTCAGTCTTACCCTTTTGATAGGAGTAAACAATGGGAAATTTAAACTATAAGAAGGAAACAAGTTGATAATGAAGAGCTTCACTTACAAAAAATGGGTAGGAATAATTTAATCCTTTAAATACTTTTGATCATTTCTTAAAATGTCAGTTATGTTCAGAGTATTCATTTAAAGAGCATCAGAACTGCTGCTTGGGTCCATGTGACCCAGAGTGAGCATGTTTCTGAACTACATGAAATAGAACACAGATGTCAGGAAACCAAAGGCATGGTGCCCCCGGCGTGTGGTAGTGATACGGCTTTTCATTTCCAAAGCAAGATTCTGAGTGAGAAGAGGTGGGCTAAAACACAAAAGCCATCATTAATTGAGTACCTACTCCGCCAGTCCCATCTGATTTTATCTTCAAAACTGAAGCTTAAAGAATTGTCTATCATACAAGACACACTGTAGGAAGTGAATTCTGGTACATCCGCCTGATTCCAAAGTCCTACCACACTTTTTCTCAATTCCAGTACTTAGGAAACGCAGATGTCCCCAGGACAGAGGAGGGCTGGACTTGCTCTAGAAATCTCGCGCCTTAATGCTTGGAGGGGACTGTATGTCTTGCTATTGTCTGGTTTAATTGAAATATAGTTGATTTATAATGCATTGGTTTCTGGCGTACAGCACAGTGATTCAGTCATACATATGTATATGTTCTTTTTCACTAGAGGTTATTGCAAGGTATTGAATATAGTTCCCCATGATACACAGTAGGACCTTGTTGTTTATCTATTTTGTATATTTTGTATCTGCAAATCCCAAACTCCTAATTTAACCCTTCCTCCCTTTCCCCTTTGGTAACCATCAATTTGTTTTCTCTGTCTGTGAGTCTGTTTCTGTTTTGTAAATAAGCTTGTTTGCATCATTTTTTTAGATTCCACATGTAAGTGATAGCATACGGTATTTGTCTCTACCTGACTTAACTTCACTCAGTGTGATGAGCTCCAGGTCCATCCATGTTGCTGCTGGTGTGTGTATATAGACCACGACTCCTTTATCCATCCTCTGTTGATGTTGGAGGGTCCTGTTGAGAGGTGAAGTCCACTCAGGAGCCCTTCACAGAGGCCACAGTTGACAGGCGTAGAAGTCAGAAGAAAGATTAGGAGAGGTGCTGCCACAGCTGGGGACACACTCAGCAGCGCACAGAGCAGAACATCGCTACTTGTCCGTCGTGCTTTACCTGCCCTTCGATGATTCCTGAAGCTGTGAGGTCAACGCCCAGAACACACATACCTCCACTAGAGAAGAGAGAAGTGACCGAGGGCTGGGCTTCTCAAAGCATGTGTTTCTCTGGTGTCTGGCTCTTTACCCGTGTTTTTGGAAGGTTCCTGTTTCTCATGTTTTCATAGATGATGCCTTTTAACTAAATAAGCTTCTGTTTTTATTAGTTTTGTCGTAATTCCATTTAGCAAGAACCAGAGCTTCAATCTCTCGTTTCATTAGCCAAGTTCAACAGATGACTGGTCATAAATTAAAAATTATCTGCTTAATTGAATGCCTAAGAATCACTCTGACCACCTTCAGTATAATTTTGAGGTACCCTGAATTGGAAGCTTATCTCCGTCCATGCTTCTGGAGTGCCCTCACATTCCGCTCTCAATGCCAGTTTTAGATTAAGAGTTTTTGCAGGGAAATCCCTGAGAAAAGTCCAGGATTGAAGAAATCGGGATCAAAATCACAGACTCTGGAGGAGGAACCAACCCACCGCCCACAGGGCACCAGCCCAACAATGCATGTTTGACTCTGTTCCTCAGCCCAGCACCGTCACGTGTCGGCCAGCCTTGGGTTGGGTTTGGATGGGTTTGGGTAAGTTCTACCCTGCCGTTGTCCACCTCTGCCCTTTCCGCTTCTTGTTTTCATTTGCCATGTATCCTTCCTTTCCCTCAATGCTTTTCTTCTCTGTTTTCTTTCTCTCTTTCCTCAGTCCCTGTACCTGCTGCCTGCCTTCCCTCTCTCTCCTCTCTCCACTCCCCCTGCCTCACTTTTCCAGTTAGTTTACCTGATGCTCATGCTCAGGCACTTGGAATCATTCCTAATAAATAAATATGTGGTTCTCAGGCAGATTAGTGCAAGCAGTGCCCTCCCACAGTTCTTGAAATGACTCGAGGTGTTTGAATTGCTCGTTTCTAAACTGCAAATATGCTGTTTTATTTCCATGGATTGCTTTGGCCAGCAACTGAGCAA